TTGAGTCAAGGTGCTGCTAGGTAGCAGGCATCCTTGTAGGCAGAAGCAGGCTCTTTTTTTTGTTTGTTTGTTTTGGATTTTCAAGACAGGGTTTCTCTGTGTAACAGTCCTGGCTGTCATGGAACTCACTCTGTAGACCAAGCTGCCCTTGAACTCAGAGATCCTCCTGCCTCTGCCTCCCAAGTGCTGGGATTAAAGGTGTGAGGTCTTGTTTTTTTAAGGAGCTTGCATTGTATGAAGCAGGAAGTAAGATGACACACAAGTGAGAGCGTTAGCTTGGGGGCGTGACGTGTTGTGCGGGCTGCGGGAGCTGCCTGGATCAGGTGGTCACGGGCAGGACCTTGGAAATGGCTTCCTTCAGCAGCACCCCGAGAAAGCCTCGTTACAGCCACAACAGCGCTTTTCTTCCTAGATGGGGAGTGTACAAAATCCAGATAAAAATGTTCCTTCTCCACGACAGCTACCAAGGCTCTCCCCTGCGGGGTACAGGCCTGGGCAGGGGTCCCTGGGACTTGAGATGCAGCTTCCATCAAACAGTTACAGAGAAGCCCTTTAAGGCAGACAAGGAAGCCTCAAAGGTGGTTTGGACTTTTAAGTCCTGCACGCGAAGGCTCCTTATCTGCAGGACTAAGTAACTCCTAGGCCCTCTTTTGATAGTCCTTGGTGCTTAGTCTGAAAGGGCAGGAGCTGAACAATGGTGCCTTGTTCAGTCATTACACTCCAGGATTTAGATTCTAGAGAATGTCAAAAGCAGCTGCCTTGACCCCAGGGTAAGTGCCATACTTGTAACGTCTAAGCCCTCACAGCTTCTCGTGGAGGCTTAGCTGGTCGTCTCCAGGGATGCCGCTCACTGTTTGGATCTCTGGCTTTTAGGGCCACCCGTAAGGAGGACAGTCACAGCAGAGGAGACTCACAGTTCTCGCCCTTTGCTGTGGTTCTCTGGGTTCAACTGACAAGTCTCTATAGATACATGGAAGTTTCAGTACCTCTGCTCTGTTTGCAGATTTTAACAAGATAGTGTTTAACAAGAGTGTCTCTGTCCTGGTAACCAGGTGTAGGACAACTAAGGGTCCCCTTTAACACGGGTATTTTTTTAAAGAAACTCTTCCTCTGTTCCTTGAATCCCACTCAGTTCTTTTTAACAGTTCCCTTAGTTTCTACCACAAGAGTTTCCCTAACAAAGACATTTCTTTGGATTGTAGGCCTAAGATCCAGTTCAAGATTTTAACAAAAATGGGTTCCTGGGCAACTGCCATCAGGTGTCTTGAGAGGCAAGGATCTAGACAGTTAATGACTCCCCACACAGTTGCAGTTGTTAGGCGGCCTCAGCAGCCCAAGACAACATTTATTAACTGTAAAATATCTGGGTGGGACTGCACAAGTGTGTTGGTAATGTCAAGAAGCTGCAGCCGAGGCACTGGCCAGGCCGCCAAGATCAAGGCTTGGCTGAGAAAGTCCTTCTCAAGTTCCCACATGGGCCACTGGCAGTCTTTGCCAGCTGTTGGGCACAGGGATCTCTTCATAGGGTAGCTTGCAGTATAGAATCTAGCTTCCCCTGTGGAGCAAGAAAAGGCACCCGACAAAAGCCAGTTTTAAAAAACTAATAGTGAAATGATATTCTGAATTCTACCATACTGTTCACCCGGAGCAAGATACCAAACTCAGAGAAGGAGATTAAGGCTGTGAATACCAGGAGGTGGCAATCAGTGGTGGCCAGTGTGGCTGCTGCGTACCCGAAGCTGCATGGCTGACTTTTTGGGGGTTTGTGTGTGTGTGTGGTGGGGTACTGGAGATTTAGTCTAGGGGCCTGTCCAGGCTAAGCTATACCAACCCATGCAGAACTGTTCATAACAGTCTTAATTTAACATTTATCCACAGCAACTTGTACTGGACAGACTGGAATAGAGAAGCTCCTAAGATTGAAACATCATCTTTAGATGGAGAAAACAGAAAAATTCTGATCAACAAAGATATTGGGTTACCCAATGGGTTAACCTTTGACCCCTTCTCCAAACTGCTGTGCTGGGCAGATGCAGGTAATACTGGTGACGTGGAGAACAATGATCTTCCTTACAGCAGTGTGAGTGCTATGGGGATTCACCCATCTTTTAGATCTTTTGGGTTAAATTTCTATCGGCACAGAGCATACTTAGCAGATCTGTAAGCTTTAAAAGAACATTTTGCAGTGATTCTTACAGTGAGTTATTGGGGGTTCAGAGGGGAGCCTGACTGTGCAGCATGTCTGGCCTGCCCCCTGCCCCTGCTATGAGCCGTTGGAAAACTAAGTTGGAAGAAGTATTAGTTGACGCTTGGATGAACTGAGGTTGGTCTACCTTCTGGGCCATTCTTAGAGTTTAACTCTAAGATTTTACCACTTTGTGTATTATGATCCTGTATCAAGTGCTGTGAGACTGGTCTCCTTCAGGAATGCATTAACACCAGGGTTATCTATTTGTGGTCTACTGTGCATTACTAGAAAAACTCGAAGACATTATATACCTCATTTCTACTAAATATAGTTCTTGAATTTACTGAACATGCAGCTGGGTGTTTTTAAAATCCAGTTGTCCGAACATTATGTTTTTTTAAAAGTATATGGAATTTAGACGTCTTTAGAAATCTGGAACATGAAAATTCTTGAATTCTTTTTTTTTTCCTCAAAAATTCAAAGTGTAAAAATACCTACTACCATGCTCGTTTTCTTATATGTAGATATTTTCAACTTATAAATGTAGGCTTAAAATTATTAAAAATGCTAATCTTTGATGCTCCCCCTTGGGAAGAAACTGCAAGATTTCGACAGATTACATTGTTCCTTCCATAAAAGGATTTAAGTTTGAATATCTACTCAAAGCTAGAGTCAAGCGGCAAGGTTTACAGTTGCTACTGTGGGAATAAAACGCCCCATTTTAAAATTCTGCCTCTATTCCCCTGGAGGACTCTATCTGGCACCTCACTTTCCCCCTTGGATATCTTAAAAGGAACCAAGAAACTGGAGTGTACGCTGCCCGACGGAACCGGACGCCGTGTCATCCAGAGTCACCTCAATTACCCCTTCAGCGTCGTGAGCTACGCAGATCACTTCTACCATACAGACTGGCGGAGGTGAGCCCCACTCAGGAGCAGCCCGCAGGGACAGCGAGTTCCGGGGAGCCCGCTGTTTTACCGGTCAGCGACTCTAGTTAGGAAGCCCTGTTCGGCTGTCTGTCTGTCCAGGGTCATCTCTGAAGTCATCTTTCCACCTCACCCTGAAGTTGACTGGTGTTGCTTCAGGCAGCATATAAGTTGAAGACACTTGGTACTATACCGCTTAAAAAGAAGTGTTTACTTAAACCTGTTCTTAGAGAATGAGTACTTTTAAGTGGTATAAAGTTTAAATTTTTCTTTTTAATCTTAGCACTCGGGAGGCAGAGGAGGTGGATCTCTTAGTCTCACGCCAGCCTGGTCCAGAGTGAGTTCCAGGCCAGCCAGGACTGTTACACAGAGAAACCTTGTCTCAAAAACCAAACAATAAGAAAAATAACATCAACTGTCTACCTTAAAGACTGAAAAATAGTTTGGCTCTGAGCTTAGATTTTTAAAACAAAACAGGTGCATGTCTTAGCCCTTTTCTTCTCCTGATTTTCACATGAGTTCTAAGTGCCATACTTTAGGCCCCCCAGACGTAGCCAAAATTGGGAACTGATTTAGCCACTAGCTCTATGGCTACAAAGTGTTAAATGAAATACATTCTGCTTGGTGCCCCAGGGTTTTGACTTACGAGGGCCAGGGAGGAAAAAACAGTCTTTGCATGTCCTCTAAGCTCCCAGGTGATACCAGTGCAGGAGCTATGTCCAGAATCACTGGTGGTAGACAAATGGAATCAAAACTCATTTAGCTAAAGTTGTTTTTGTAATGTATAAGGAAAACTGCCACCAGACTGTTGTCTACTGAAACTGTCTTGTGACTGGCCGTCCCTGCCCACCTCTCCTTCTCTTACTAGGGACGGTGTTATCTCAGTGAATAAAAACAGTGGCCAGTTTACGGATGAGTACCTCCCCGAGCAGCGGTCTCACCTCTACGGGATCACCGCAGTCTACCCCTACTGTCCAACAGGTCAGTCCATCAGTGCACGTCACGATACCCAGGAGAAGGGCTGTGCTAACACTACAAAGTTAACACAGTGCTAACCCTACTGCTTTCCTTCCCGTGTGGTTTAACTAATGAAATATCTCTGCTGTCCCCTCCCTCACAGGAAGAAAATGAACATAAAATGTATAGGAAGATTTCAAGTTTACAAGAATCTTGACCTAAGAACATTTACTACAAAGGCAGTGAAAGAGGAATTGGCCGCCATGAGCTCTGGGCACACAAGATGAGCATTCCCAGTGCAGCGAGACTAAGTCTAGTTTGTGAAGTGTATACCTCAATCATTACTACTGTATTTTTAAAAACAAAGGTTATCAGAAGTTTAAAATAGAATTTTAATCATTACTTATTGAAGCAACTTTTTGTAAACACTTATTTAAAAGACCAAATTCATTCAACAAAGAACCAAATAAGAGTTTAAGACACTAAATCTGGTTTTTGCCATGGAGTCTACCTGATCAAGAAAAGTAAAACACATGGCTGGTTATGAAAATGTATTCCTAAAGCCCACTGAGAAGATGATGTAACAGAGAAGATGATGCTGGTCATGGGGATGATCCAGCCTATTTATACTTCCCAGCAAAAGTCAGTCCTCAGACTTTATTTATATTTAAGGTGCTAGAATGATCCCCTAAGTGCCTCTACAGAAGCATCCCTCAGAAGTATTCCATGTAAAATACCAAAGATGTAGCAGTTCTTAAATTTTCTATGTAACTCCAATAAAATATTTTACAGCTTTCTTGTGGTCTAAAGATCTATATTGTCTCCATGACAAAGTTATGGGTTGGGATGACTCTAACCCAAAAGGAGGATGCACAGTAATTATAGAAACAGGATACATTACTTCAAAACAAAGCAAAACAAAAAACTCCTTTTACTTTCCCCAACTTTATTAAAGAAAAAAAGCCGTGGTGGTAAATCTCTAGAACACGGGCAATCTCCTGAGATTCCTCCCTTGAAAATGTGACATTTGATTCCCGAACACATGCCGGTGTAGACTGTTCCCATCACACTAAGCAGGCAAGAAGCTGAAATCCTGATGTGCTCATCTTCCAACCTTCCCCAGTCTGTGGTCTGTCTTTGGATCAGCAATGATGGCCTGAACGGCTACTATGGCTTCGTTAATCTTCGTCTGTAGCTCTCTGAGCTCTTCTATGTGCAGCAACCGCAGGATCTGAGCAGCTTCGTTAAGAACTGCATCTGTCACAAGACAAGAACACTGCATCCATCTCTCTCCCCCCTTCTCTCTCTGAATGGTTTCTGTGCTTCCAGCTACCTGCTTATACCTCAGAACAACACCAAGTCCCTCAAAATAGCTTGACTTAAAGCAAAATAACTTACCTCCTGTGTCAAAGCCAAGAATATGTTTGTCTAAAGCAACAGGTAAGCCCTTTAAAAGAATGACAAAACAAGACTATTTAGTTAAGAGTCCCTTTCCTCATTTGAAACTAAAGAGCACCTGGTTATTCAGTGTAAGGACTATGCAAGGTACCCCGTGAAGAACAGGGTGTTACAGCACCCAGGAAAGCCCACCCACCCTTTTAAACTGGCCTCTAAGAGCCCTTATTACAAAGACTTTGTGCTGCTCAGGAAGGAGGACTGAGCTAAGCAAGTGCCCTGCAAATTAATTACAAGTGACACTACAAAGTATACCAATGTATCTAAAACATACAATTGTCTTCAGTCAGCTTGTTTAACAGATAGATGTGTTTAATGTTTTACCGTATGAAGTCACTTTGATATCATCTTAATCAAATGGCTTAATTATCCAACTCATTAGCACCTACATCTAGATATTTCAGGGATGATGATACCAAACTACAATAATAACTTTATAATAAGTCTAGGCTTCCTGCTGATAAAAAAGTATCTCTGCCGGGCTGTGGTGGCGCACGCCTTTAATCCCAGCACTTGGGAGGCAGAGCCAGGTGGATCTCTGTGAGTTCAAGGCCAGCCTGGACTACCAAGAGTGAGATCCAGGAAAGGCGCAAAGCTACACAGAGAAACCCTGGAAAAACCAAAAAAAAAAAAAAAAAAAAGTATCTCAAGTCATTAGCAATATTTAGTTACTGCTAAATTTCTACCTAATCTAACATACTCCACCTAGGAGCCCTGCTTTACCAGGGCTAATAACTTACATAATGAATGGGAATTCAGAACAAAGTAAGAGCAGACTTGTCCTGAATGGCTCTGTGTATCATCTGGCCTGCCAACAGACCACCAAGGAACAGCTACCCCTGAAATCAACATAGCCCTCAAATATTAGTCAGGAATGTAATCTGAAGTGATAAACTGTATCACTAAAGATGAAGCTAGATCTCCTTTGCAACAGAGGGAGAGTTCTGGCTCAGCATCATTTCACATTGCCTCCAAACCAAAGACATCATTTTGGTGAATGAATGACTATTAAGCCAGAACAATCTGCTGCTTGTTCTACAGTGTGGGTGAAATAAGTGATCTTTGATCCAGTTTCCAGTGGCCAATTCATACACAATTAAGCTAGTAAGACCCTTTGGTAGAAAGCTGAGTGTCTTTCAGAAGCGCCTCCACTGTACTGTCCTGGAATCAGCAGCCCTTCACCACTGCTGGACTTGGCTACAGGGGTCAGAGGACAAAGGGCACTGGAGGACTAGAGAGAGGGGATGGGGTGGGGGCAGGCACAGAGCACTCTCCAGCGTCTGTGTAGTAAGAAAGGACCATTATTGGAACTGCAGCTGCTACTCCTCACCCAACAACACTCTCTGCATTGTGGCTTTGGGGAGATTTCATTTTTGTTTCCTTTCTTTGAGAGAGGGTCTTACTATGTAGTCCAGGCTGATTAAATGCTTACACCTCCACACCTGGCATTATCAGTGATATCTAAATTGGCGGTATAATTAAAAATCTTCCAGTAGCAGCTGGGCGGTGGTGGGGCATGCCTTTAATCCCAACACTTGGGAGGCAGAGGCAGGTGGAGCTCTGAGTTCGAAGCCTGCCTGGTTTACAGAGTAAGTTACAGGAGGCACAAAGCTACACAGAGAAACCCTGTCTTGAAAAACAAAACAACAACAACAAAAAGTTCCAGTAGCATTCTTCAAGGAGGTGGTGATCATGGCATACTGAACAAAATGAGATAAATTACGAAGACTCACAAGTGTGAGGATGGGATCAAGACTTAACAGGACAGTAGTGTGTCCTGCTTTTCCCACCATGCATCAAAACAATCTAATACATTTCACAAAGCCAAATCTCTTTTCCACTGGGCACATGCCTCAGTTTGCAGACCGTGAATGGATGACTGAGATACGCAATTCCCTGCTCACCTGTCTGAACCTCAAGTCACTGAATACACTGAATTTGCTTAAGAACTGAATTCAATTCACACATAAGTCAGTTATCCTTTCTCCTGTTCCAACAAAATGAATATCTTTTTTTTTTTTCCTTTGGTTTTCCGAGACAGGGTCTCTCTGTGTAGCCCTGGCTGTCCTGGAACTCTGTAGACTAGGCTGGCCTCAAACTCAGAGAGATCTGCCTGTCTCTGCCTCCCATATGCTGGGATTAAAGGTGTGTGCCACCATGCCTGGACCAGAATGTGTTCTCTTAAGAAAACAGTAAGTTTGAATGCTTGCAATAAAGAATTTCCATTAGCTGGCTTAGAATCTTAGAAACACACGTACCTCTTTTGTTTGATTTGCTTTAGCAACTGCATCCTGTGTTAGACGCTCCTGAACCAAAATGCGAATTGCCTAGGAAACCCAAAAACACCATACTTACTATTTTACCAGACCACTAATACACAATGCTCACCCCACCCCAATGCTGGGGTTGGACCCAAGCTCTAATGCACACCAAACAGCTGTGGGGTGATGCTTTTGTACACTGGTTTAATAAACGCTGATTGGTCAGGAGCCAGGCAGGAAGTATAGGTGGGATAAAAAAGCAGACAAGGAGAATGCTGAGAAGAGGAAGGCTGAGTCAGGAGACACCAGCCTGCTATCCAGGAAGCAGCATGTAATGGCACACAGGTAAAGCCACGGAACACGGGGTGACATATAGATTAACAGAAACGGGCTGAGTTAAGTGCAAGACCTAGTCAGTAGTTAGCCTGAGCTAATGGCCGAGCAGTTTCAATTAATATAAGCTCCTGTGTGTTTACTTGGGTCTGAGTGGCTACAGACCGGGTGGGACACAGGAAAACGTTCAGCTACACCAAGCAAGCACTCTACCACTGAACTACAACAGCCCTGAATATGCTGACATTTGTGCCTGGCAAAGCCAAGACACCTTCTAGAGTATCACGACTACTGGAATGCCTAACAAGATAAAGGTATATCTAGACCTAGGACTGTAACATGAATCTTAAAAGTTCTTATTAATAAAATCAAACCTGAGGCCAGTTATTGGGATGAAAACTGGATGATCAGAGAAACAGAACAAGCCACAGCTAACCTCACCTAGCCAACTTCTCAGCTGGTCTTGTTTCCTCAGACTGGAAGTTTCTGTGGCCTCATCCCAATGGCTCTCAGCTGAACTCTGCTTGAAAGCCTGAAGCTTAACCAGCTAAAAGCTTCTAGTATCTGGCCCTCACGCCCTATATACCTTTCTGCTTTCTACCACCACTCCCTGGGATTAAAGGCTCGCTTTCTGGGATTAAAGGCCTGAGTCACCATGCTTGGCTGTATCCTTGATGGATTTCCGCCCCTGGAATGCTAGGATTAAAGGCATGTGCTACCACTGCCTAGCCTAAGTATCTAGTGGCTTTTCTGTTCTCTGACCCCAGATAAGTTTATTAGGGCACACAATATTTTGGGGAACACAATACCACCACATAGGACTTCACAAAGCTTGTTACAGCTACTATATGTACTTAGGGATTTTCAAAGTTTGGCAAAAGTACCCCAAATACACTGCATTATCTGTTTCTCCTTTCCCTTAGTTTATGACTAAAGCTGAAGTGATCACTGTGGGACTGTCCCAAACAAATCTGCACACTGGACTAAGCAGAGAACTAAACTTCCAAACAGTTAACTTTAACTAACAACAACTTGATGTCTTTGGCATCCAAGCTGGGCTGAGAAAGTCCACTTGGATTCAACATGAATATTCTATTAAGCTAAGAACACTACTTTCCTTGTTGAAACTGTCCACGTAACCCACATAATTCTAATAAGTAGGATAAATTATAATCCCTTCTGGGTAGAGGGAAGTTTATTCAATTTACTATGAAGTGCTGTATAGTGACTTCCACTCGAGGTCTCAGGCTTTCATTTCCTACCAGAGTAGTTATCTAACAGCCTCTAAGTCTACTACTTGCATCCTCCTGCCCCACTCCAGGACTGCGTGTTCACAGCAGAAATTTTTATGGAATGTTTTTCCTTTCTCAAAGAATGTTCTTTCAGGTAGCTGTGTTTCTTGATGGTGGGATATAAATTGCATTGTTTATCTAGAAGGGAAAGATGCTGAAGACGAGATATTTGTTTCCTACAGAGGTTTTGCTGTGTAGCGAAAGTCACCATTAGTGATGTGGCATTCCCCCTTCCTCAACAACACACTCAACTCTCATCTGACTGAACAGAGGTGGCTCTGCCACTGTCTGTGTCTTGGATGTTTGTTATCTTCTTCCAGGTCTCAGTTTCTTAATGAAACTTGTTTCTTTTGGTGTGAGGTGCAAGTGTGTACATGTTTGTGTGTACCTGTGCATATGGGTGTGCATGCACGTCTGTGGAGATTAAAGGCTGGCACTGGGTGCCTCCCAGTTGCTCTCAACCTTTTTTCAGATTAGCCTTTCTCTACTAAATTGCCTTTAGATATTTGTCAAAAATAAAATTAGGGCAATGACCCATGTGAGATGGCTCACACTGATTTGGCTAAGCTGGCTGGCCAGCGTGCCACAGGGATCCACTGTCTCTGCCTTCCCAGCGGAGGTTTTTGTGCCTGTCTTTCCACGTGGTTGAGTTCCAAACTCAGTCCTTAGGCTTATGCAGTAAGCTCTCTGCCAGCTGAGCCAGCTCCATAGGCCCCCAGTTTTTGTTTCCTTGCTTTTTTTTTTTTTTTTAAGTATTTCTCAGCATGATTGCTAGTAGGATTGAGTGAAATTTTATTTCTGCAAAGAGAAAACACATTTGTGTGTACACAGTTAATGCTTGGATACCAGCTTACTGCTGGGTAATGTGAAAAAGATAAAATAATGATGTGTGCTCTAGGTCCCACATTCTTCTGAATTTCTATTTATCAGCCCATCATAAACTTAGGTTAAAAATAAATAGTAATAAGTAATAAATAAATCTTTAAGAATAAATAAATAAATAGCATATGGAAAAGTGAAGATTCTTCTACATATGCAGTTTCTGTCTGTCAAGAATAAAATGGGCAGCTTACCTTAAGCATTACCAAGTAATCATCATGACGCTGAATCTGAAGGAGGTTAGCCAGAGCCATGACACCAGCCTTAAAATCAGGATTATTTACTGTAAAAGATTAAAGGTGAATAAGCTAAACCTTACAGCTCTGCAAACATCCTGCTACTTACCTGAACACACGTGTTACAGAAATACCAGCTCTCTGGACTGACTCGTCTCTAGCCTTTCGGCTGCTTTCAAGGAAAGCCATGACGCAGTCAGTGCACCACATCAACAGTCAGGGGATGAGTGCGAGGTCTCCTCAGCAATCTCACCAGCCCATCAAGCCAGTTCATAAGTGACTATTTAACACTGAGTCTGCCCTGGAGTGGCTGCAACGCCCATTGCAGACACTCAGCTCTTCCCAAAGCTATTAATTTTATAGTTCCCCACTGCTTCTCCGGGCACAGCAGCTATGGTGTGTACAAGCAGCTCATTCACTCAAGACTAACTTGTACTTGGGGTCACGGTGACTCAGTCGATGAAAACATACTTAACACACCACACTTTAGGTAACTCTTATAATCTTCACCCTTTAAAAGGGAATTACTAAAGTGCATGTGGGACTTGAAATAATGAAACATTTTGTCACCTGTCACCAGGTCAGGAAGGTGACCGATGACCGGCACCATGAATAAGAAATCAAGACCCAAATTCCCAGCATTTGACATTCACATCCTCAGTGGCGAGCTGTGGAGAGAGCACGCTGCCAGTGAGAATGAAATCCGGCGAGAAGGCGGTGAGTGCCCTCCCGTCAGGTCTCACTGCGGCACACAGCCTGCGCTCCAGAAAGCACTACAAACCCACTGTCAAACGCGGATCGCGTACTCACCGTCCAGGTTGATCAACGGCTCTGCGTTTTTAGCTGCGTTGTCAGCATTTTTCCTGTTATCAGGTACTAAGTCCTTGTATTTTTCAGCTATAAAAAACAGGCAACTTAAGGCAAAATAATTGCAACTTAATGTTAAAATAAATGTTATTTACTGAATTTAGCTAAGCCGTTATGACATCCACTCAAAATCATACTGTGCTACATACACAGAAATTCAAAAAGGTAAGGAAGTTTTTGATTAAGCTGAAATCTTGCTTACTGGGACACTGGACACAAGTTTCTTCCCATTAATGTTTCTGAGATAAGGCTGGCCCTGAACTCTGACCCTCCTGCTTCTATCTCCCAAACACATGAATTATAGGAATAAACTTCCCTAAATATATTTCAACATCTGAAGTTTAGGAAATAAAGTTTTTTATACCTTGCTCTTAAATTTGCGACAGAACGG